GCTGAGAAAAAGTGGTAACAGACACAAAAAAACACATCATAGTAAAACCAATACCTTCTCAGCTTCGCATCAAAGCTAAAATGTTATGAAAGTCTTAGGAAAATTTTTTTTTTAAATATCAAAATCTACCGATTTTGAAAATTGTTATATTTTGGGAGATTTCCACCATTTACAGCGAATAAGGGATATTTTTTCAATTTTTAAGGAAAATGTATTCAACAAATACGATTTGTGATATTTTGAGTATTGTCCATCAAAATCGGTCCAATGACAGTTGAATATAAGTAGTAACAGACACACCCCAAAAAAACTAGCACAGTGGGGACGTAGCATAGTTGGGTCCAGTTTAGATGATATAGATTAGATATGATTCTAAATACCTAATCGCTTATCTAGAATGATACTTTGGTATTTGGTTTCGTCCTGAGGAGAGATTATGGTATTGTTAATTTTGACGGGTGGACATATTCCAAGACGAAGAGCGAAGGTGACATGATTTGACTTGGCTTCATTTATTTTTATCTTCCAATTTCTAAACCATGACTCTATACAATTCATAGTGTTTTGAGGTGATAATCGTTACGTTAGTAAGTGTAAATAAAATGTTAGTGTTTTAACAAAAGTTACGTAAAATAATGTTAAATTCCAATGGACGTCTGAGAATCGTCATAACACGAGATTGTCTTACAAATATGATTAACTCCAGAGGTAAGGGATACTGTTGGTATGAAATTGCTGAGGTTTGCAAAAGTATACTTAATAAAACCGAAAAATCATTCTTGCCCAGACTTAATTTTCGTTTGTCTGTTAAATCGTTACTTTAAAGTCTTTTCATTTTCAATCGTCAACACATCAAATATGAATCATTTATGCTGTGTTTGCGGTAAGAATTTTAGTTTTAAACACAAATTGTACAGCTGTACAGTTTGCGGCAAAATTTTTTCCAAAATAGATAATATGAGAAGACATCAACATCATACACATCTGAAAAGTTGGTATCATGTATTATAATCATAACATGTTATGATCTAATGTCATACAACTCTATGTTTTCTTTAAATATAAAAACAATATTTAATTAATAGGTGTGAACAAAAACTAAGTTGATTATAATCAGACATAAATTCATAATAAAGCGCGCGCCATTCGAATCTGGAGACAACGAAAAAAATGGCAACGGTTCAGAAAAACGCTCTGGCGAAAGCCATATAGAATTGTTCACGAAGAATTTTTTCGCATTTTCCATCAGTGGTGAAATCGATTGGAGCTGCGTCAGTCTGCTCAGTCAGCCAAAACTTATCTAATATTGTCTCTAAAGAGGTTGTCTGTGATACCGCAGTTAAGTACAGCAGTAGGAGCGCCACCAATGAGCACCTATCCGAATATCGAACTGAACGCAGCAGGAAGATCGTCAAGTACGGCAATACGTTGACCATTCAAAATTAATGTAAATCGACTCCCAATAAAAGATCAATCAGACCGGCCGAATCGAATAACGGGTCAACAACCGCCAAATTGTTATAATTTTGCCTAACATGAGCCGTGATTACATACCATGGTAAATTATTTGTAATTGCCATGCTTTGACCGTCAATATGGGGTTCGCTGGAAAAACGTAGATGCATTTGACACGTCATAACACCTAGGGTGTTGGGAACCTGAATCCCAGAAACACCCAGAACGGACTGAGTCCATCGAGGCGCGGAAGGCCGAGGCGATCCGCGAATGCCGTCGTCATGGCACTAATTTGCGATCCGGAATCTAACAATACAGGCGCGGTTTGAAAAGTGCCAGACCTATGACGAACATAAACTAACGCTATTGAAGATAAATATAAGAATTCTATAAAGAAAAGAAAATATTCAGAGAAATGTTTTAAATCAAGTGTTCTAAGATAAAGCTTAAAGTTTTTTCAATTTACTAAGCCTATATGATTATTTCTTTTTTTGTTTTAGATAAAATTAACAGTAGTTGATACCAGACACTTTTGGATAGGACAAATTGTTATGAGGATATTTAATTTTTAATTTTAATATGGATTTTTTTAATTAAAGATTTAATTTAAAGTTAATAAAATTTCTATTCTGGATTTTATATAAAAATTAGAAATAGCTACCATTTTTTATAGGTCAGTATTATTAGAAAATTTGCGTATGTCTTTTTTTTTTTATACAGAGTGTTCAGTAAATAAGGAAACGAATTTCTATTGTACTGATTGTTTGTAACAATTTAACTGTTTCCTAACTTACTGAACACCCTGTATATTTCCTATGGACCTTAATCCAATCAAAAACTAAATATTAAAGTATACAATATACAAATATACAATAATATATAATAACATTCTTAAGATTTAAATTACCTTAAATTACTTAGATTATTTTTAANACATACAATAAAGGTGATGATAATACGATAATTAGACATCAACAAAATTGTTACAATTAGAAAAAAAGTACAATACATCGGTGCATTATAGAATGTCTTGTTATGATTTACCATATTATTATTGAACCTAAACTATTGCAAGCCTGTGTTCTGTAGAGCCGCAAACCAAACGATAATACTTAATTTATAAATAAACTTTTAATTTTGAATTGGAATTAGAAGTTTCAAAAACATTATTTGACAAGTATATTTTTTTTTTTTTTTAAAAAAACGGTAGCACAGTGGGGTCGAGGCACAGTGTGGACGAGGCATAGATGGGACAAGTATAGATGATATACAGTGATTAAAATCACTATCATAAGAAACGCTTCGATGCAAATCTGTAGATAGTATTTCTTTTAGAGAAATTGGTGGAATATTCTAAGAGCAATATCAACTCTTATTTCTTTAATTATACCCTGATTGGTAGTTCTTTGATTTTAAAATATAATATATGAATAAATACTAATTATAGTTTTTAAATTTAGTATGAAATTGTGAGGCCAGCTATGATGTATGGTTCATAGTGTTTGGCGGTTGATAAGAAAGTAGAGCAGAGAATAAGTGTAGCAGAGATGAGAATGCTTAATTGGATGAGTGGAGTGAATAGAGAAAATAGGATAAGGAACGAGCATATAAGAGGAAGTAAAGGTGTTGCGTCAATCGTGGATAAGATGACAGAAAATAGACTTAGATTGTTTAGTCATGGTATGAGGAAAGAAGAATCGAAAGCTGTAAGAACAGTTATAGAAATGAATGTTGAAGGAAGAAGAGATAGAGGAAGACCAAAAAAGAGATGGAGGGATGCTATTGAATGCGATTTGAGGACAGCTGATGTGAGCGTAGAAGATGTGGGAGATCGTGTCAAGTGGAATCTTAGGATAAGGGTGGCCGACCCCAAGTAGTTGGGATTAAGGCAAAGAAAAAGACAAATATTACCAGAAATTCTGGTAACTGTGGCAACTGACATAATATGATTGTTGTTTGGGAATGTACAATTTAGCGTTTAGTTGAGTTTAAACAATATAGCGTCAAATCAATTACCTACTCTATCGCTTGTATATTAATATACACTACACTTTAATGATATAATAAATAAATAAACTCACACATACACACATATGCATTTATAAAATTGTGTCTAACGTAAGTGTAACATGATAAAAAGTAACCGTAAAATGAAAAAAATGGAATATAAATTTTAGTACTCATATTAAATGTAATGTAACTCGAAAAATATTTGTTTAAATGAAAAAATATAAGANTGTAACTCGAAAAATGTTTGTTTAAATGAAAAAATATATAATAATTTTTTTGTTTATAATTGTCTTTTAAACAACTTTTGTAAATTGTAAATGATAACTGTATTGCATTAAAATTAAATGATAATTGTAAATTATTTTTACGAATTATCAAAAACGTGCTAGGTCTTATATACATTGAAATTATTATTAGTTTGTGATTACTACTGAGTAATACAGTTATTATTATGGCTGTATTTTCATTTTAATATTCATAGAAAACGTTATTTGAAAAAGATAACGTTCTAGACGTAATAATAAATGGAATAGCAATTACTCCAAACGTGGTTGTAGGTAAATTTTTTTTAACTCTGGTCNCGTGGTTGTAGGTAAATTTTTTTTAACTCGGGTCTAACAAATGATAACAAACTAACAAGTATCTGCATTGATTACAAAATTCGATAGAGTATACTCTATGAAAAATTTTTTGATAAATCTTATCTTTAATTTGTTTCTTTTTTTATAATTTAGTAGTTACAATAGGTAATTTATTTGTTTTGTTAATTTTCCGTGCACTAAATAATAGTAATGAAAATATGATAAAAAAAAGGCAGGAATTGTTTTTAATTTTAAATAAAATAAATTTTACATTGTTTATAATTTATGTTTATTATAAAATTTTTTATAACTTAATTGTTATTAGTATTTAGGAATAAATTATTTTTTCTTAATAGCTTTAGAGTTAAAAATAAAAGTTGAAAAATTAAATCAGCTTATGTTCACATCATTATTTTATTAGCTTCGATGCAATGCTGAGAAGGTATTATTTTTACTATGATGTGTTTTTTTTTTTGTGTCTGTTACCACTTTTTCTCAGCTCTCACCGAACCAATTTCTTTCAATGATACGTCAAAAGATCACAAATCGTATCTAGTCGAAGACATTACCCTTAAAAATTGAAAAAATTTCCCTCGTTCCCCGTAAATGGGGGAAACCTCCAAAAAAATTACNAGATGTATGATATCGTTACTTTTCATTTGATATATTTTTTTTATAAATCTGACCCTTTACATGCCCACGGAGGGATTTAAAATGACAACTTTTTCACAAAAAATTAATTTTTCTTCACTTAAATTTTTAAAACGTTCCAGAAAGTCTGATACTTTGAATTATATCTTAAATTAAAGCTAACGTAATGTACTATTTTATTTAAAAAAATTTCGGAGTTAATTTTGTCTTCACGGTAAAAATGGCTACCGAATGCTATTTTTGTGTAAAAATTTTTGATTTTGTATTTTACATTTTTAACTTTATAATGCTATAACTTTTTGAAAAATGTATGAATCAGCACAATTTTTTTATGAGAAATAATATTTTTTAATAATCTCTTTTTCATTCGACATACTTTATCTTAATCAGGATATTAATAAGGAAATAGCAGATCATGTAACTTTTGGAATAATCCACCAATTTTCGAAAAATAAACACAAATTTTGAACTTGTAAGATTCATAGAATGGGATACTGTCTAAGAAGGAGTGGAGGGACCCCCCCACAAACTAATCATGGTAAACAAATTATGGAAAATGATACAAGGGCCCAAAATTGTTGGCCCCTCCAATAAACATTTTCTGGCTACGTGCCTGGCAACAACTTTGGATGATTTGATATGGATTTAACCACGNATCAATTATAATTAATTAATTATAATTAATTTTATACATAAATAATGGCACCAGTCATTGGCACGCTAACCAATTTTTGTCTATCAAATTTAGTAATTAATAAATAATATATTAAAGTTTGAAGTAACATTTTGATTTTTGAATCAATTATGATATTTAATAAGGAAACAACACCCTACTTTTTAGTACCTTAAACAAAAAGCCACAAATTTTTTTTTGTGACTAATAGTTTTATTATAGTATATATATATTTTTTTATAGTATTTTTTATATTTTTTAGTTTAAATATGTTTTTAATTTTAAATAATGTTAGCCTTAAGTGAGAAGTCGGAAGGCGTGGAGGCTCGTCCAGGCGTTCGCCGAATCCGTCCTGTTAAAGAAGGAGGAAACGGAATGCCTGAGACAGAAGCAGCCACGCCGCCCTGCACAGGAGGACCTGAGGCGTTGCTTTAAACCGGTGCCTTAGATTCTTGTTCTTCCTTTTGTATCTTTGTTTGTGAGTGATTTTGCCAACCCTCCCTAACGGTTCCTACTTCGAGATCCGGTTAACGGGAGGCGACCTCACCACGTTGCGAAACAGCTCTTGATTAATTTCGAGCTGATTCACAACGTAGTGGTGTGAATTATTAAGTCGGCCTGAAGTAATGCCTCACGGTAATTCCAGGGCGGCCCACAATAAAGCCAGTCGAGGGGGAAAAAAAAGGGTAATACACCGGCCGTGCTGTGCTTCCCCAAATTGCACATTAACAAAACCCGAGATGTCTTATTGTTTATCGGCGACCATCGACGTTGACATAAATACGAATCAAGTCCGGTGGCCGCTGATCAGTCTGTAATTCACAGTGTCGTTGTATTTACACTCGTGTAAGTAAAATGCATAATATATGTTTTATTTACAATAGAGGCATGTTTTATTTTTTATTGGTTATTATTATTATTATTATTGGATGAATTATATCTTATCAGTAATAAAATAAAATTAGTATTAACTTTATTTTATTTCTAATTTGTTGTCTAAAACAACTGGCGCAAACGGCTGAACGAACATACTTTTTCAAGGACT